CTCCCGAAAAAGGAACCCGAGTTAGCCCTGACCCGAGTTACCCCTGATGATTCGGGGCTCTGGACGCCCGAGTTATCCGGGGTAACTCGGGTTTGGATTCCCGAAAAACGAACCCGAATTATCCCTGACCCGAGTTACCCCTGATGATTTGGGGCTCTGACTGCTTGTCCTTGCCGTCCTCGTCGTCGTCGTCGTCGCACGTCGTGGTCGCGATCGTCCTCGTCGTCGTCGCCGCCATCGCCACCGCCGTCGGCGCCGTCGGCTCCGACGGCTCCCGCGCATGTCCTGGGGTGCGTTCGGGCAAAAAGTTCGAGACGGGTCCGGCCATGGACACGAAGACGAAAGGCCCCCCTGAGGCCCAAGAAGGCGATCGATATCGGCGACGACGGCTGCGGTCGACATCACAACCATGCGCGTTTTTGAAACCGCACTCGCTTTCAAAGAAGGGCAGCCGAATTTGACATCCGTAAACACATGTTCTTGACATCGAACTGGGCATTCAACGACCAAAACGCGCAACAAACAAAACGCCCCCCAACACATAACGATCCCAGTAAAGACTCCCAAACGCCCAAAGACCAGGGCCCTCTACCCTCAATCGGCGGCGAGCCCAGGGGGAAAGTGAGCGGGGGGCAGGAGTTCTCAGTCTCAGAAGTAGGCGGCTCTTCTCAGCGACGGGGGCAGCGGCAACGGCTGCGGCTGCGGCGGCGGCGGCGGCTGCGGCGGCGACGGCGCGAAGCTCGGGCGGGTGGTCATGGGGGGTCACCTCCCATTACCACCCGCCCGAGAAGCGGCGCCAAGTAATACGCCCAAGTCTCGGATAAAATCTGGTAAGGGTGAAGCGAGAACCTCTCAGATCCGGCGGATCTGCAGGATGCCTCGGGCGTCGCGGCCTTCTCAAAGCGCTCTGGAACGCTCTGCAGAGCGCTCCGGAACGGACTTCTCCTCGTCCTGGCCCCGTCCGAGCGGCGGCCGGCGCGAAGCTTGGGCCGGCGAGAAGCTTGGCGGCGCGCACAAGGGGGTAGGGGGAGGGCGGAGGGCTCCTCAGAAGAAGAAGGCTGCTTCTCAGAAGGCGCTGGCCTTACGTCCATAATTAGACAAGGCCCGCGCCTTCTGAGAAGCAGGGGTGCTTCTGAGAAGCCCTCCCCCTCTCCCCCTATAGGCCCCCCTCTCTGCGCGTGGCCGGGAAGCGGCGCCAAATAATACGCCCCGGTCTCGGGCAGCGTGGTCCTCGCGTCGGAGCCGGCCTGGCCCACGGCGTCGTGCGTGACGCCCTGCCACACGCCAGGGTCGGCCTCGCCGGGGGGCAGCGAGCGACGCCGTCGGAGGCAGCGGCGGGCGGCGAGGACGAGGCCAAGCGGCGAGACGGACGGCGGGGACGACGAGGAGGACTGCAGCGGAAACCCGTGCCAAGGAACACCCTGCTTGCCTCCAGGGTGCCCAGGGTTCCTGGGGTGCGACGGTCTTGCCGTGGCAAGCGCGACGTTCCCACACCAGAAGTCAATGGATGCCCTGGGGCCTCAGGGTCGGGCTTCTCGTCGAGCTCCCACTGTACCGTCGCCGCGCCACCGTAGGGGCGCTGAATGCAAGGAGCGAGACGGGGCGGTACTGGCCACGGGGAGCCTCGGTCACGCACGCCCTCCCCTGCCTGGAGAAGCCAAGGGGCGGCCCGATGGCCAGAGAACCCCTCCCCCGAATCCACCGACAGCCGCACTTCCACACCTCGACTGTACGACGACAACGTGACCGGCGAGGACTGCGAGGACGCCTGGGCAGGGCGGCGAGGACGGGGGGAACGAGGACCTCGTCGATGCCGTCGGAGGCAGAGGGCGACATCTGGGAGCGGGGAGGAGCACGGGGGGCGGCGGGCGGAAGACGAGGAGAGGAGGCAGGAGGGCGAGGGGGAGCAGCCTCGGGCGAGGAGGGAGGGCGAGGAGGGAGGACGACGAGAGGGAGCAGCCACGACGAGGGCGGAGAGGCAGGAGGGCGACGAGCAGCCTCGGACGAGAAGGAGAGAAGAAGGAGGGCGACGAGGCATGACGACGGGGCCCCAGGACACGCAACGAAATACGTACACACAAATCACAGGATGTCCCCTCCTTTCCCTATATCTTTTCTGGGCGGTTGCTTTCCCCCTCCACTCCGCACATTTCCCCATATCTGTCCTGCAAAAAAGACGATCGATTGTGTCAGTGTGTGTTTTGTCCCCCTCCTGAGAGCAGGAGCAGCCTCGGGCACGGGGACGAAGGCGAGCAGCGCTCGGCCTCCAGGAGAGCTTCGGCAGGCCGGGGGAGCGGCCGGAGGAGCGCGGCTCGGCGGGCGGGCGCGCGGGAGAGGGGCACGAAGAGGACCACGAACGGCAGGGTCCGAGGTCAGGAGCGGCCCAAGGAGGGGGGCATCCCAGAGGGGGGGGTCCAAGGAGGGGGGGCGTCCAAGAGGGGGGGGGGTCCAAGAGCGGCCCAGAGGGGGACCACGAGCGGCCAAGGGGGGGGCCAGGAGGGGGGGGGGGTCCAAGAGGGGGGGGGGGTGGTCCAAGAGGCGGGGGGGACCATGAGCGGCCAAGGGGGGGTTCCAAGAGGGGGGGGTGCAAATCATGACCGGCGCATGTGCGCGGCCCAGCGGGGGGCCAGGGACGTAATGAAATAAGAAGAGGCGCCATGACATCTGGGGAAATATGATGGCCCCCGCCATGATATCCCCCCCCTAATCATCACCCCCCTCTTTGCCGCCCCCGAAGAAATCGTCGTCGTCGACGTCGTCGACGCTTCCCTTCAGGGTTGGCGGCACCAGCAGGAAGGCCTTCGTAGTAACAGCAGGAGACGTGTGGCATGGAGGAATGAAATGCTGATGTGGGGAAAAAACAATAAGGACAAACACTTCAAATCCACCAAAGAAATCGGATCGGGCTGGGCTGAATATCTGCACGGAGCCGAGCTCGAACCGGACGAGCTACGCCAGGATGCACAACTACGTCCTGCAGTCATCTGGCCGCGTCGGATCGCTGGAAACCAAAATCGGATCTGGCCGGTGAAACTCGAAACCGAATCGGATGGACTTTGGAAGTCATGAGACAGGACGGCCACGAGTGACCTGCCGATCTCAACCGAAGTCCTCGTCAATACCCCGAAGTCTCCCCTGGAGGCCTCCGAGCCCCCCCGAGATGCCCGCTGCTCACCCCCTGGACCTCTGCCAGAGGGGGGATGATGGAGGATGTCCTTCTCCTCCCCAGAAGTGGCGGCCTCCTCCTCCACCTCCTCCTCCTCCCCCTCCCCCTCCTCCTCCTCCCCCTCCTCCTCCTCCTCCTCCTCCTCCTCCTCCTCCTCTCCTCCTCCTCCCCCTCCCCCCCCACCCTTAAGAACCCACTCGAGGCCCTGGAACGCGGACGCCCCGCGGATATGTCAACACAAGCCCCTCCTCCACCTCCTCCTCCCCCTCCACCTCCTTGACGCCCTCCTCCCACCTCCCACTCCTTCTCCTCTTCCTCACCTCCCCTCTGCTCTTTCGACGACAGCAACGGTGAATATGCGGACGAAGTCGACGAACGAGAAGCCCCGCATGGGCCTTGTCCGTCAGCAGTGACAGCCGCTTCGTCTGCGTGTCGCAGAACTTCTGCGGGTCGACGAGCTTCCAGAACTGCCTTGCCCATCGTCGTCATCCTCCATCTCATCGTCCTCTTCGTCCTCGTCCTGTTTTTTCTCTCTCGCTATCTCTCTCACTCTCTCTCTATCTTTCGTTTACTCTCCCTCCTCTTCCTCATCCCCATCATCCTCCGCTTCCTCGTCCTCCAGTGTTCCAGTGTTCCAGTTGCAACCCAACCCACGCAAGAATGCATGCTAGGGCAAAAGGGATATGAGGAGCTACGCACAATGGACGGAGGCAGGGGCGGTCGCAGTCGTGCGCCCGCCCCTGGCAGCACTCCTTGGCGCAACTTCCGCAGCTCTGATAATCTCTTGGCCAACCTGCAAGGGCCTGAAAGCCGCGTGCCGATCTTCGTGGAGGCAAATCCTCCGCACCTGTCGCACCGAATTACAGGCATCGCAGGTCCAGCGACCCAAGTGATCAAGAGAGCGTGACCCTGGAAGTCCTCTCTCTCAGCAAACACTCAGAGCGAATCGTTCACCCCTCTGCGCGGCCCCGAACTCTCGACCCCCGACCATGTATGGCAGCGTCTGCACCGCCATTTACTCGTCGAGCTCCACCAAACTAAATCATGACGCGTCGGGGGGTTGGGCCAGGGCTTCCTCTAACAAGCTGTTCCTGGAGAGACGGCCAGCGAGCTAAACACTTACCAGCCCCCCTCACGAATTTAGGATGCGGACTAAGGGCCAGTGTGATCTGAGAGTGCTCAGCTTCACTGATGCCGTTGAAATGGGCCGCTCTCTTCGCTTGTTGATCGGCCAACCGATCACCCTGGATGCGCATTTCGTCAGTCTCATCACGTGCCTCGGAATCACTCATGTGAGCATCCCCGTGGGCGCGCCGAATGACCCGACTTGGGCCCGTCAATCGACTCGTCGCCCCCTAGAAGTGCCCCGGGGCACATTTCGGGCCAAACAAATCTGATGGGCGCTCGCAGAGGGCCGTGTAATCGACATGTAGCTCTGACGACTCACAAGCATTCCCGTTAAGAACAATGGCAAGCACAGCGCCTGCGCGCTCTCCTGAGGCCGCAGGTCTGGGAAAGCGTGTAAAGGGCGGGCCGCAATGCAGGCCTCGCACGAGCCCGCCATCCTCGCCAACCTCGGCAGCCGCGCGGCCCGCGCGGGCCAGGGGCCAGACGTGCCTCGAGCACTCCGGGCACTCCGGGCCAGACATGCCCCAGGCTCAAGATAAAACGGGTTGCACTCCGCGGTCTCTTCACGAGACGTGAAACTCAACGCGCCACTCCGAAGGGGGGGGGGGGGCGAGGTCGACGCGAGCGCGCCAGCCGCGCGAGAGCAGCGGGCGCCCATCTCCAGCCTCAATCGCTCGCCTGGTCACCCGACTCAGCCCCTCCTCTCGGACTCCTGCACTGGCTGCGCGTCTCCAGCAGTGTCTGGTCGACCGCAGAGCTCGCTCTACACCTCGACGTTCGCCCCCCGCTTCTGGAGCTGCACGCGGGAGAGGTGGGAACGAATGAACATCTAGCGAAACAGAACAAATCCACCCGCACATACTTCCGGCTTGGGAGACGCCAGGGCCTCGCGGGGAAGCTTCCACCAACGACCCCGTTTCAAGAGTTCAGGCCATCCTGGCCCAGCCTCGGGCTTGTCGCGCGCGCAATCCTGGATCAAACGTTTTGAACAATGAAAAGTATGAACAAACTGCCCTGCGACAAGATCCTTGACATGGGCTGGGCTGTGGGCGGTGAGATCTGCGTCCGCGCCTCTGCAGTCTGCGAAACTGGCGGGGCCCTCGATCCCCCGGCCCGCCTCGAGAAGCCGCAGGGCGACATCGGAGATGGGGCCCTTGCCGTGGGCGCGCCGCGCCTCATGGGCCCCTTTGAGTTCTTGACAGCGCTGCATTGCATGCCTGTGAAAGGATGTCGGCTCTCAGTGCGTCATCGTGCACGTGCTGGTCCTGATGGCCAAGGCTAGCTGAGAGCATCCACCATTCTTCAGCACGCCCAACCAGTGGCATCGCAGACGCACCAAGCGGAGCACGCGCCCCCGAACTCGCAAACACCAAATTCGTCGACGCACCCCTCACCGCGATGCCACTGGCCGACGATGCAGCCCCTCGAAGGACAGAAACTTGCTTGGGGGTGAAGGCGAGATCTTCCCCTCCGTTGATCACTGCAGGCGTACGGTTGGGTTGGGAAGACGGCATTTCGCCGTGCCTTTCCCCTGGAAGTGCTTGAGCCTCCCACGCCGTGCAAAACTTGACACGTGTGGTCCTCGTCTTGAGAAGCTTCATCCCTCGGCGAGATTTCCCCCCAGTGAAATCGATGCCTAGATGGGGCGCGCTGTCGGCGGCGCCTCCCCCGCGAGACCCTGGCCTGTCTTGGGCAAGGCGCATCGGCGCTCCACTGGCAGCGGTCACGCCAAACTTCTTGACGGCCAGAGGGGGCCTGAAGGAGCCCTGCAGGCACTTGGCCACACTGCCAGCCAGACTATACACAGTGTTTGCAACCTACTTAGCGTTTCCCCCCGCACTTGCATGGCCAAGTCACCGATATGCAAAAGCTGGGACGCATTCTCAGACCAGTACGAGGCGAGGCGGTATATGCCTGGCTTCAAAAACAACCTTGCATCATGCGTGGCCGTGCTGCTACCTGCCGCCACACCTCGGGTCGCCCAGACGGCTGCGCTAGCTGCGCCGTCGCGGTTAAGTTGGGCGCCCGAGTTATCCGGGGTAACTCGGGTCCGGGGTAACTCGGGTTTGGATTCCCGAAAAAAGGAACCCGAGTTATCCCTGACCCGAGTTACCCGTGATGATTCGGGGCTCTGGACGCCCGAGTTATCCGGGGTAACTCGGGTCCGGGGTAACTCGGGTTTGGATTCCCGAAAAAGGAACCCGAGTTATCCCTGACCCGAGTTACCCGTGATGATTCGGGGCTCTGATTAAGGGCCTGAACCGACCATCGGTGGCGAGAGAGAGACCGAGGCCGAGAAGGAACAGCACGTGGCGAGCCTCCCCGCGCAGCCCGCCTCGGGGCATGCGCTCGTGGAGAGTTGCTCGCTGCCCCGCGGGAAGTGGAGCGCGCGGGGCCTGCACTCGCTTCCCCATGCTGCGCGGGCAGACTTGGAGGCCTGGAAATGGGCACCAACACCAAGACAGGGGGCTGCCTCAACAGGGGGGAGATGGTCCTCGATTTCGGTGTTGGTGGTAATATTTCGGTCACCTTGGAAGCCAGAATATTACCACCATCGCCGAGATCGGGATCTTTCTTCCCTCGGTGGAGGAACACCGCCGATATTGGTGTTGGTGTCAATCTCTAGGCCTGCGACAGACGCCTGCAAGACGGAATCAGACGGAACCCTGCGCGGGGTGGCCGAGAAATATGCCACCCGTTCCGAGCTCCGCCCCCCGCGCCCGGGCCCTGCCCTTCTGGGCGGCTCCGAGGAGCCCGCGGCAACTTCTGATATGCCCGACCGGGCGCCGCGGATCTCCCGGGCCGTCCTTGGCCATCGGGAGCACGCCGGAACTTCGGGTTGCCCTGGGTCCATCGCTGACCGGGCTCATCGCGTGAAAAAGGAGCGACGCGCAGAAAAGGGCCTGGAACATCAACAGACAGAGTGACGAGGGTGGTCGCCGTCGGGTCTACACGTGGCCCCCTCGAACCTTCGGAGGCAACTGCGGATGCGCCCATTGCCAATGAGCCCTGGGGCCAGAACACATGGCCCATCAAGTGCGAACGTAGGTTTGGGCTTCTTCGAAGCCTGCGAAGCCGTCTTCCAGGCGCGCCCCTGGATCTCCAAACGGGCGCTAGCCGAGAGCGAGAGAAGCTGAATCCTGGGGGGCCGATGAGAGGCTTCCATCTTGGGCGCGCACCTGGGGATTGCCCCTCAAATGCTCGCGTGCCTGCTTGGCGCCTGCCTGCGCGGCATTGGTGCGCCAATCCTTCCAGCGACCTCCCGAGCAGGGCCCGAAGGGAGGGGGGCGCGGAGCGATGGGCGCAAGGGGCCAGGTGAAGGAGGCCACGCCAAGGAGAACGACCTGTGGCGAATCCGGGCGCGCGAGGCCGAGAGCTTCGAAGTGGGCCAAAACGGGCGCCCGCGCGAAGCTCCAGATTGCCAGACCATTCTAGACGGGCCTTTGTTCCCCATATCCTAAGATGGAGATATTGATGTTACTCTGGCGCCGCCGACTTCTCAGTCAGGCGTCCTCCAATTCTCGTCTCCTCCTACTCAGATTCGTCCATGCTCATGTTCCGTCGCGCTCATGCTACTCAGAGTTGTTCATATTCAGACTCGCTCATACTCATGCTCTCTCGGATTCTCACGCCAAGACTCTGTCGCAGTCATTCATTCAGATTCAGAAGATTCGGGGGGGCGTCTCAGGCGGGGCGTTGGTTTCAGCGCCCCTCAGGGGGGGCGCCAGAGGGGTATTGCACGGCCTCTCCGGCGGTTTGCCTGATGCGGTGCCCAACGTCGTCTTTGTTGACACCAGTGTGAAGATGTCTCAGGCGGGGCGCTGGCTTCAGCACTCCCTGAGGGGGGCCGCCAGGGAGTATTGCGCGGGCCCGTTCGCGGCTAATGTGTGGGGATGTCTCAGGCGGTTTGCCTGTTTCGGTGGCCAATGTCGCCCGTCTGCGTTTAGGGCAGATTGCGAGGATGTCTCAGGCGGGGCGCTGGCTTCAGCGCCCATGCTGGTGTCTCAAGTCGGTTTGCCTGTTTCGGTGGCCAACGTCGTTTGCGTTTAGAGCAGATTGCGAGGATGTCTCAGGCGGGGCGCTGGTTTCAGCCCCCCCAATGGGAGCCGCCAGGGGGTATTGCGCGGGTCCGTTCGCGGCCAATTTGCGGGGGCGCCTCGAGCCGTTCGCCTGCTTCGGTGGCCAACGCCGCCTGCGAAAACACCAGATTGTGAGGGCGTCTCAGGCGGGGCGCTGGTTTCAGCGCCCTTATGGGAAGCCGCCGGGGAGTGTTTTTGAGGGTCCGCTCGCGGCCAATGCGCGGGGGGGGCGTCAAATCGGTCTGCCTGTTTTCGTGCTCAACA